AAAAGTTTCATTTTCCAAACTTATAATTTTAATTGACGTAACGTGCAAAGAACAAAATCAAATTAAATGTTTCACCCTTCACAAAAATTACTTTCCTTGGTAGATCACAAAAAAAAAAAAGTTACATAGGGGCAAAAAATTTGTTTTGATGTTGGAAAAATTATTATATACTTTGCATGAATTAATAAAGTGCAATGTTGAAGGTAAAACACGGGTATTTTAAATACTTCATTTTATGTATTTTATACAATGATTGTACTATTTACTAACTATTATTTTTAATCAATAATAATTCAGAAGCCATTCCTAAATGTCCTCTATGTTTACTTTTATCTTTCTGTTTGCGGATAAGATGGGGTATTTTAGTCATTCACAAAATTGAAATCAGGCGCGTTCGCCGGCGCCCCGGCAGGGGGGTTTTGTCATCTCGTGAGCGCTATGGCACATCTGTTCGTTTTAAACTGTGCAATAGAATATGGATAAGATCGGGTATTATAGTCATTCACCATTTCGTATCAGGCGGTAGTGTGGGCAAACCCGTGCCACCACGAATATTATCCATGAAATATAGCGAAGATATTGTTTATATTTAAACAATTCAGTTTAGAAAACAGGGTCAATATTGGATTTGTAATGCATAGATGAAACCCTCAAACTTTCCTCTGGGACTGCGGTAATGAGCGGGATACACATGCTAGTATATTATGTAAAGCAAATAGCTTTTCTTTATTGCTATTTAAATAGTAGTGTGTCGTTTTTTTTTCTACTTTTTAGTGCATTATAACACGTTTTGATCTACACAGACAGACAAAGGAAGCTAGTTAAATTTAATAAAAGCCTGTAAAAACGGGGCTAATGATAATAATAAAATAGATCATTTTACAATTTCATATGGTGCTAAAATAATAAATCGGGTTTTATTTTCAATTTTTAATTAATTATTTTTAGCTGCATTATTTTCAACTATTTATTTTATTTCTACTTTTGGTCATCATGAATAGATCTTTAGAAAGTTTTCATATGAAATAAATTAAGTTTGATTATTTTTATTATTAAAGTAGAGTTAAGGTCAGTTTAATTGGGTATTGTGATAGATGAGGTTGATGAAATTGTCATTTTTTGTTTGTTTTTATTTTATATAATACTAGCAGCATTTACCCGGTGTTGCAATGGTTTGAGAAATATGAACAATTTTTAATTAAATGTCTGTATGTAAATATGAATGCTAAAGAAAATATACATAACATTAACACTAACTACAATGATAACCCCATACTTAAATATAAACACAATTATAAGCAGAAAAATATTCCTATTCCAATCCCCATCCATATATCTAACTCAATGATTATTTATATCCTATCCCCATCCTTATGCATATTTTCATTGATAACGATATCCATATCATAAACATAACCGTTTCCTTTTCTCTGTCCCTATCCCTCTAAAACTAAAAATCAACCATCAAAATAAAAACTCAATTACTTGATAGTGGCATAGACCAAGTACAAAGTATCATGAGAAAAATATAAACTGCTAAACCCAACAGCAGCAAATATATATTGTCTTGTATAGCCATTTTTCTTTTAATAATAATCTTTATAATCTTACACAATATATGCCTATGAAAGAAAACAACAAAATTCATTTGTCGGTAATAATTTATTTTTTTTCATATCAAGATTAAATGGACTCTGTATGTGTATTTGTACATGGTGGACTGGTGGAAAACATGCAAATAGTAAAAAACTTGACTTGATCAACATTATGAAAAAATTTTAAAGTGTTACTTTTTTTTTTACAAAAATCTAAACTGATTTCTGGAAAACTCAATATTGATAGTTTTCAAAATAAATTTTCCTTTTACAACTTAACATTTAAACTGAGGTAAAGTCAGAGAACAAAAATCAAACTAAATGGTTTTCCCTTCAAAAATTATAATTTTGTCTGAAAAATTATAATATTACACCCCTTTATACCAAATTACTTCCAGTTAGTTTGTTTTCATATTGTTATTAAGATATTGTGATAAAACTTTGCATATTGATTCTAGAGAGAGTAGGCAACAGTAAAATAAATATCATTAAAAGGAAAACAACAAACAATTAAGCTCTATTAAGGCTTATGGTGTCGTTATAAAATGACTTTCAGGACATTTTAGAAACCCGCACATCTATGTTGTTAAAGATATGACGATAAAATTTTGCATATAGATATTGGCAATAGAAAAATAAAAGTCAAGTACACCTTGTAACTATGGAGCGGGTGAAGTAGAGGTCACCTGTTCCAGTGACTTGGCACACAAAGGAATAAAGTGGTCAGCGCTATGCATAGCCCCCTTTACTTTTCAGAAGGTGAGTCTGATACCCATCACAGCTGGGTGGACTCATTATAAGGTCCTACAGATTTGAGCACACATTCTTCTACAATTTTCATTTTACCAGACCGCCCCACTAATTAAAATTATGTTTTTATTGTTTTAGTCAACAAGTTGGTGACCCCAAGGAAACCCTTAGTAACCCCAGTATGGGTTTCAATACATATATTAACAAATATTTCACTAGCTGCATACCCGTGCTCCGCCACGGTAAATCTTTTTTAAATGTACCATCTTGGGAACAGAGATTTAATGATTTGTTATACTATAGTGCTACACTTGCATATCCCATTAAAGAAATTAAAGCAAAATGAATAAGCATCTGACTGCATCATTATCTTTCTATAAGGAGTGTGTAAAAAATTGGCGCAATTGTAATCTTTATGTTTTTTTGGAAGGGTTGTAAGAGAGACATAGTTCAATTAATGAGAATTCAATACATTAAAATAACAGCGCCGACCACCATAAAATAAACCTTTCGACACATGAACAGCAATCTGAAAAAAAATCCAACACTGTACTGACCCACACCTTACTCATTCTCCTAGCCCAGGTGTCGGCAACCTTTTGATACGCAAAAGCCAAAAGTTACAATTTACAAAACTTCGTGTTTTTAAAGAGCCACAATGTTTAGTTCAATATTTTGGTATTTGATTAGGATTAGGTAAATAAAGTTGATTTGTTATTTAAAATAAATAGCTTTAAATATGAAATACTATTTATTCATATAAAAACATAGACATGTTTTGGCAGAATAGTAAAATTAGTAATCAAATAATATTATTCTAGGACTATGTGAATCCACTTTAGAAGCTGTTAATTTTTATTATATTTTTTCTTTACGGATATCACCGGCTCAGGAGGTGTCTCCCATTAGCCAGTCAGGCCTCAACACGTCAAACGCAGACTAACTGGCTTGGATATCGGTTTGAATAACTTGCTTCTATCCTTTGGTTCTCACCAGGCTTATCTTCCATCCCACTGAACGCATGGTAAAGTCGTACCCCACCGTCCAGTAAAAATGAAATGATTAATATTTGTGCAAGGAGCTGGAGAGCCGCATCTGGACGTCAAAAGAGCAGCATGCAGCTCGCGAGCCGCAGGTTGCCGACCCCTGTCCTAGCCACATCAACCCGCAAGCACCACTCGTACATCACTGTATAATCCAAACGGCTGCATCTATGATGTTTTTTTATGCTGATATAGCAACCAAAACCGTAACTCATAAACCTCTCTAAAAGTTAAATTACATATCAAACAATATAACATTTTTAAAAATGGCGCAATGTTCTAACTGATGTCTGCCGAGATTTCTCTTCTCCCCTTCCCCGTGGTGTAATGTAAACCGCAGATGTACAACATGTATTAAACCACATACATTTATTTTAACTTTAGCCATTCCAGTAAATTATAATAATTTAATTATTTAGCATGAGTTGAATTTATTTTTAAATTACCTCCCTTGTCAAAATTAGAAAAAAAAGAGTTAAATTAATTTGATTTTTCTACCCAACTGTTATTATGTTATTAAAATGTATCTACTTTTTCTAAGAATCTAAACGAAAATGATATTTGACATTGATCCTTTTAATATGTTATAGCAATGTGCATGTATTTAATATTTTCCTAAGAGTAACCCCCCCCCCCCCCCCCCCCCCCCCCCTGAAGAGATGCCTGGAAGAAACTCTGGTTGCATCTGTTGGAAACATCGCTAGTCTTCATTAATTACTGAAAAGTTTTAATTCAATTGTTTAAAAACAGGTGCATAAATGAAACAAGGAAACATTTTTGTATTTTTTAAAAACATAAATCCTCTCAAAATGTGAAATAATTATTAAAATTTAAGGAATTTGGGGCCTACCTGTTTTTCACATTACTAGATTACTAGATAAACTTAGAGCGCAAGATTCAGGGGAAGCCACTGTATTCTACAGATGGCCGCTTTTTATATAGCTAATCCTGCTCGCAAACACTGCTGTTTAAAGAGAATTTATTGCCTATATGAAATATTGATATATTTAGCCATTGATTTAGGTTTATTATTCATTTATCTATAATATTTGACACAAATATATCACAATTAATTTATTAAAGCCTTGACAACAATTTACAATGAGTTAGGCCAGGGGTCGGCAACCTGCGGCTCGCTAGCCGCATGCGGCTCTTTTGATATCAAGATGCAGCTCTCCAGCTACTTGAACAAATACTAATAATCTTAATAAAAAAATAAAATATTTGAAATAAAAAAAATGTTAGTGGCTCTTTAAAACCAGGGAAATTTTGAAAATTGTAACTTTTGGCTCTTATGCTTCAAAAGTAAAATCAAAAGGTTGCCGACCCCTGAGTTAGGCACTTTTTTGTACATTACTATAGTAACTATAACTAGTATAACTAGCCGCGGGCGATTTAACGTACCTAGAACGATAGATTACCACTAATTTATAGCTCGATCTAGATCTTAGATCTAGTAATAACAGGCCTGTTAGTGTTTATTTAATGCCTAGACTAGACTACTGTGTCGTAGTGTTGTATAAAAAAAAATACAATAGTCTGTTTGGCGTCCTTAGTAATACACTTAAAAAACAAGTAAAGTAGATCTAATTATCGAAAGGAGAAAAAAGCATTGAAGGCATTCTATGAATTAAGAAAATAAAACATTTTCGAGTTTAGCGTCGGAAATTATCGGGTAATGTTTGTTGAGTTTCGGTAACTAGAGTTACGGTAAACCATGGTTTATTTGACCATTGAAATATAAATAAATTGAAAGTCAAATGTAGTAAATTAATGTTTTAATTTTTTAAGTTTAATCGACAAAAAGAAACAAGAATAAATATAGATCTTATAGTAGATTTAAATTATAGATCTAAAAATAAATAAAAACATATAGATCATATTAATATAAATAATGAAGTCAAATATAATAATTTAATGTTTTTGGCTTGCAGCGGATTTGCGACCATTAATTAATAAGATCTAGAATCTAGATCTAGCTAGATATCTAGCTGCTAGGCCAAGTTAAAAAAATCTAGATTACGAAAATAGTAAAGATGATTACAAAATGTAAAAATGATTACAAAATGAAAAAATGATTACAAAAATAAATCTATCCAAATTTTAAATATTCTGTATAAAAATAAAAGATGACGCCAAATAAAGTATGGTTTACAGTACTTCCGGTGAATTCCGGAAGTGTGTGACAGACTTTGACATTGTTTTACTGTTTTTTTTTACTGCTATACGATTCCGGAATAATAACCGAAGCTAAACTAAGGTTTTACCACATTTTCTTTCTTTAGATTTATTATTTGAATCTAGATTCTAAATCTACTAATACTAATAAGTTAAGTGTTAAGGCTAGAGAGGACTTTTCAACTTAATTTTAGTCAGGCCAAGGCTATTCCCGGCAGTGTTTCTTCCAGACTTTTTTCTCCGGGAGAGACACTTGAAATTTTCGGGGGGGGGGGGGGGGCGGGGGGCGGTAGACTTTCTTCGGGGGGGGGGGGGGCGGACACTGTTAAAAGTATATGTAACGAGTCCCCGAGTCTATCCTGCCGACAACGCCAAATGTAACGAGTCTCTGGCTACCCTGCCGACAACGCCAAATGTAACGAGACTTATCCTGCTCGCAGAGCCAAATGTAACGAGTCTCTGGCTACCCTGCCGACAACGCCAAATGTGACCTTCCCGAGTCTAACCACTCATTCCACACAACATTGACCACAGCATAGATACTCGAAGATGCAGGTTCATTATTGATCCTTTTATTACATGAATCAAAGAATGCTTCACAATAATATAATGAATCAAGAGAGATGTTTCACAATAATAGTCTGAATCAACGGACCCCCAACAGTCCTCACTAGGCTTCATCTAACTGAATACACATGTCTAACGTCCTTCTTAACACAATATAACCAACGTGGTACTGCCACACAGACTCACTGAGAGAGAGAGACTGACTTTCTGAGACACCTTCTGAGAGACCGACTTTCTGAGAGACTTCGAGCTCAGCCGTCGCCTTCCTTATATCCCCTTCATAATCGTACTCATATTCGGTCCTATCATAATCGTAATTGTAATCGATTCTAATCGTTACATCAGACTGTTAATTACGCCGCTTCTGTCGTACAGTCCGATTTTAATAAGCCACCTGCATCCTGTCACATCAAAGTTGACAGACCGTCTTTCGTATCGCTTCCCGAGATACTACGCCTTGGCATCAGCCAACACCTGCACTGTGACGTCAGACTGTAACACGTTATGTCTCTTGGTAACTTCCCCTAGTTACATCCACCCCTGCCTTTTTTTGTGTGTTATCAACCACAAACAACGCTTGGCAGGTGCAGTCCTTCAAAGTCCATCGCACCACCGTAAAAAATTTTTTTATTGTTCCACTCACTGTCAATGTCGTCACATTCGTATAAGATTGACAGTTATCCCTATTTCACATATCAAATGTGTCTACATCATATTCCTCAGACACAAAACAGTTCTAGAATTCACATCCACCTTTTTTCGTCTGGTGCCTTCACCAGTTCACTTTTATGACTTTTTGAACAGTCTGTTTTCATACCAGCGCGACCATGAAAGAATTGATGGTTGCTGACAAAAAATTTCGTATTCTTTCTGTTTCTCAAACTTCTCCGCGGACCACTTATCTGATGGTCTACTGTCTCTCTGCTTTTGGAGGGACCGGGATCCTCCTTGTTGCCGGTATCCTCCCCTTGTGTGTCGCTGTTGTTCTGTTGATGGTGACATGGTTCCGGGATGGGTATGTGAATTTCCGTTATAGTTTCCGGTTCCCTAATTGTCTTAGGTTTCCTTGTGTGTAACTGCTCTCCTTGACTATGACAATATTTCTTTAATTGAGCAATATTCGCCCACCGATCCGGTTTGGTGTGATCGATGGGTCTTATCTTAAAGGGGCCACCTGCTACTTTAGGCATCTCCACGACTTGCCATATCTCCTGTCCCCAGAGATCGTGGATTTTGTTTCTGCCTAACGGGTGGCTACGCAGTAATACCCTGTCGTTCAGTTTGAGTGGCGGGTCCTTTGTCTGTACCGGCGGTTCCCTTCGCCGTGCTTCATGTTCTAGTCTTTCCTGTACTACCCTGTACATTTCTCTAATTCGTCTCATATGTTCATTCACATATTCCAGTGCAGTGTATGAGCCAGTCATACTCTCCTTTTTTCCTAGGAACAAGTCAAGAGGGAGTCGAGCCTCCCGTCCGAACAGCAACATGTATGGCGAAAAGCCGGTTGTGGCATGGGGTGTGCAGTTGTATAGATATACCAACTCTGGGAGAAAATCAGGCCAACGTTTTTTCTGTTCAGATTCTAGAGTACGCAGCAAATCATGCATGCTGCGGTTGAACCGCTCGCACTGTCCGTTTCCTTTCGGATTAAATGTGGTTGTTCTAGATTTGTTGATCCCGTAGTGGCTGCACAGTTGGTTAATTACTTCTGACTCGAAGGCCCTTCCTTGGTCAGAGTGTAATTGTCTTGGTATGCCATATTTGATGAACCAATGTTCTATTAAGACCTTTGCCACTGTTTTGGCAGTCTGATCTCGTGTGGGCACCGCCACAGTCCATTTGGTGAAAACATCAGTCATTACCAACACATGTTCCGTCCCATCCGATGATTGCTCCAACGACGTAAAGTCCATAGCCACAATCTCTAGTGGTTTTGTCGCTAATAGGTGTCCCGATGGCTGTCTCATTTTGACAACTGGCATTTTCGCATGCTGACACCTCACACAAGCCTCACAATGGCGTTTGACCTCCATTTCCATATTGGGCCAGTAACACCTTCGTCGTAATATTTTGTGCGTCCTGTCCTGACCCTGGTGTCCTGCCCTGTCATGTGCCAACCTTAGCACTTCTTCTCGTAATTGTCCAGGCACCACCACCTGGTGTATTGTCCCATCAATTTGGTCATGAATTCTCCGCATGAGAACACCATCCTGTATACTGAGACGGTCCCACTGACTCAGTATTTTCTTTGTTTCTCGACCAAATTGTTCTCTTTCCCTTCTTCCTGGGAATTTTTGTTCCTGGACGTGTTTCAACAGCGGCTGTAAGCCACTATCCGTTCTCTGGGCATTTCTTATCTCTTTGTGATTAAGGCAACTAAAATCACCAATGTCCATATGTCCGGGCTCTGTGGAAATGTGCTCCACCCCGGTCTGTCCGTTCTGCCTCACTTGCACCCCGTGAGGGATATCTGTTGACGCTCTGACCTCACATATTCCTGTCAGCGTTTCTTCCTCATCGCCCGGTCTCTCGTAAGGATTCCTTGATAAGGCGTCCGCATTGCCATTGGACCGCCCCGGGCGATATTTTATCTCTAGGTCAAAGAGTGCCAATTCTGCTGCCCATCGCTGTTCGATGGATCCCAACTTTGCTGTCTTTAGGTGACTCAAGGGGTTATTGTCAGTGTATACCACACATTTAGCACCTAATAGATAGTCCCTGAATTTTTCCGTCACAGCCCATTTTAATGTCAAAAGTTCTAGTTTCATGGCGCTGTAATTTGTCATGTTCTTCTCTGATTCCTTCAGAGCTCGACTGGCATAAGCAATAACCCTGAAGCCTTGCTTTTGTTGTTGTGATAGCACAGCTCCCAGACCTTTAGAGCTGGCGTCAATTTCTAGCCGAAATGGTTTGTCAAAGTCTGCGTATCCTAATATCGGCGCCTCTGTCAAAGCCTTTTTCAATAGCTTAAACGAGTTCATGCATTCATCAGTCCATAATTCACCTATCCGTTGTGTTTTACCTTTCTTTTTCTCCTTACTGTGTTTCTTTGTCATTTTGTTTACCAAGTCATGCAATGGTGCGGCAATTTTTGCAAAACCAGGCACAAATTTTCTATAATAGGAAGCAAAGCCCAAGAATGATCTGACCTCTACTGTAGTTGTTGGCTGTTTCCATTCTTTAACAGCTGCAATTTTATCTGGGTCAGTGGCGATGCCATCCGACGAAATCACGTAACCCAAAAAATGTACCGATTTCAGACCGAAGCAGCATTTGTCTGGGTTCAGCTTTACTCCTATCTCCCTAAGACGGAGAAACACTTGTTCTAATCTTTCTAGATGGTCCTCCCAAGTTTTTGAATAAACTAGTATATCATCCAAGTACACCAACATTATTTGAAATAGAAAGTCACTCATAGCACTCTGCATTACTCGCTGGAATGTAGCAGGTGCATTAGTTAGACCAAACGGCATACGGGTCCACTCGTACAGTCCCAGTGGAGAAATAAATGCAGTCTTATGTTGATCGTTGGGGTGCATGGCCACTTGGTGGTAGCCACTAGCCAAATCCAAGGTAGAAAAAAATCTTGCTCCCCCCAACGCATCAAGACATTCATCAATACGAGGCAAGGGGAATGCATCCCTTCTTGTGATATTGTTCAATTTCCGGTAATCACAACACAGTCTTATCTCCCCTGACTTCTTTTTTACCACTACTATCGGTGCCGCATACGGGCTAGTGCTGGTTGTAATAATTCCCTTTTTTAGTAGATCGTTCAGGTGTGCTTTCACCGCAGAGTAGTGACTCGGTGGTAATCTTCGATAAGGTTGCGCCACCGGCTTGTCTTGTAGTAAGGGTATCTGGTGT